TTTAAGAAATTTTTTGCCCAATAAGGTTAATATGATGCACAAGAGGTAAGTTTAATTTTGTTTATAAGGAAATGTTTAAGTGGTTAAGATATTAGAGATTTTCAATATTAAATTTTGATATAAGTAAAGAGGAGTTAAAAAGGGAAAAATTATTCTTTTTGTATAACTTATGATTGAATGAACAAAAAAGAAAAATAATAAGTTTTATCTTTTAGAAAATTTGAGAATTTTTTGTCACTAATGATATGAAAATTTTTATTTGAGGTCAACATTAAGATTTAAAAGCTATTTGAGAGAGTTTAAAAGGTAAACTTGTTGATGTAAGTTTTCTCAAAATTTATTAAAAAGTTATTTTAAAAACTAATTTTAAAATTTTTCTTGCTAAAAGAGAAAAAAATATTTTTTTCAATAAATTTTTAAATTTATGAAAGAAATTTTGCTTAAAATAAACTTAATTTTTAAGCAATTACAAACACAGCCTCTAAATTTCTAAAAGACTAAACAATTAACCTTCAGAAACAAAAATAATAGTTTTAAAATAGCTTTAAGATTTCTAAATAAACTAACTTATACAGGACCAAATATAAGTCTATGCCCTATCATCACGTCAGGATTTCCTTAACTTGTTTTGTGTATTATTAAAAATATTTATAAGTTGACATGAACTAAATAAAATTCATTTTATATTTTTTTACCCATAAATATCTTTTTATAGAATATAGATTACCTTTTTTTTTCTTGATAACAATGCACATTTAATTTTGATATGGAGTTGTTAGTTTAAAGAAAAAGATTTAAGTAACACATATTGAAAGAGCTAAGGTAACAACCTTGATGGAAAAAGACCTTTTCCAACTCATAATTACAATACTATTATTTCAAGTTATTTTCAACATTTGTTAATATAATTGTATTTCGATATTACAAGTAATTCTAATTCCTTGACTAGGAGATAGCTAGTCTATTTCCGAAAATAACTGTTACTTGTGCAAAGGAATACACAATTGGTTTCTTGATTATTCCATGAGAAATGAGGCTTTAATTTAATTCTTTTTATGTTGTTATCAATGATGTTGAAGTCTGGAAGAATCCTTTGCATGATAGTTTTGTTTTTGAAGTATAGTTTTTTGAACATATTATTAGTTGAATGAAATCTTGAGTTAGCTAGAACCATCTACAAAAGTACTTTCATTTATCTTTTTAATATTGAAAATATTATATTTACAATATTAAATAATATTATAAATTTATAATTTTATATAATATTAAATAAAATATAATGTGATATTAAATAAATAAATACATATAAGATCATTAATAAATTTTGAATTAAAAAATTAATTATATAAAAATATATTATATTATAAATTTATAATATCATATAACATTTTAATTATTGGATTTGTATCCCGTAGTATTACCATATTTCTTGCCTTTATCTTTTCAAATTAATACAATAATGCTGATTTGAAAAAAGGCCTAACCAACCGTAGTTGTATTTTCTTATAAACAAATATTGTTTTACACATTAAGTTGGAGTGAGAATAATTTAACAGTTTAAATAAAAAAAATAAAAATTTTGCATCAAAATATAAAAATAAATATAATTTGTAGTAGTGTTGTTTCAAATAAAAATACATAAAATTTACAATAAAATTCAAACTTTAGAATAGATGAAGAGAGAGAGTACTCCAATCATAAAACCCATCATAGAAGTAAGTTATTGGGGTGGTTCAAGTTGTAAAAAAAGAAAAGAAAAATTTTTTTTTTGACCATTTTGGCAAGGGGCGGTTTTTGAACCCACCTAGAAGAAAGGATAGTACACCATCAACCTGGCTAATGCCAGTGAATCTAAAGGTCCAGGTGCAAAAGAAAAGAAAAGAATTTTAGTAAAATACAAGTTTAAATTTATATATTATTATTTAAATATAAATAATTTTAATCCGTTAGATCTCCCATTTATTAGTGAAGATTTATTCCTAAGTAAAAATTTTCATATTTATATACATACAAAAATAAAAATAATTAAAATAAAATTTTAAATTAAAATTTAGGGTAAATTTACATTAATTATTAATTATAGTCTTAGATTTGTATAAATTCACATAATTTATAAATAAAATAATTCTATTTTAAATTAGAGATTTAAGTTTTATAAATAGACTTTATATTAAAAATATAATTTATCTTACAAATTTATTTAAATATTTTTATTAAAATAATATAAAAAATAATTTTAATAAAAATATTTAAATAAATTTATAAAATAAATTATTTTTTAAAGTATAACCTACTTTATAAAATATATTTTGTAAAATTTATGTTAAAAATTGATCCCTCTTTGCAAAAAATAATAAATTTCATTCACATAGTACAATGATTAAAAAAGACATGTTAAAAAGTTTATTTTTCTTTTAAGTATTTTTTAACAATAAAAGAGAAAACTTTCATTTTCTTTAATTGACGAATGAATTTGTCCTCTGATGGACCGGGTCCCGCTGAATCCGTGGACCGATTCTGAGTAATTTTTGTCTTTTAGTAACCATGATATGTATGTATGTACATACTACATAGAATAATACTATAATTATAACAATACATAAAATTATAATTTTATATAATATTTAATAAAATATATATTATTAAATAAATAAATATTTATAATATTATAAATAAATTTTTAAATAAAAAATAATTATATAATGATATATTATATTATACATTTATAATATTACGTAATATTAATTATAATACTTCCGTGTATATATATATAGATTTAAATACTATAAATTTACACGAAAACCGAGCGGGTAAAAAGAGAGCGTACAAAAAATCCAGCGAGCGGAATCAGAAAAAGATCGGAGGCTTCACAGGTCGGGCCCACGGCAGGATGCAATACCCCTCCACGAAAATGATGCCAATGAAAAAGTGCCACGTGGTTAATTTTGTCAAGTCAGTTTGACCATTGCAGGCGTACGGTGCTGCTGCGCAACACAGAGACAGCTGTGCGTTGCACGATATTTTTTTTTTCTAACTTTGTGAAGTGTGTTCCTCGGTGGGCTCGTTTTGTCAGTCCGTACACATTACTCCTTCCTACGTCTCCTCTTACTCCAGCCTGGCGTCCACTACCCGGATTATATGGATCGGGTTTTCTTTTCATGGACTTCCAAGGGCTACGGGCCACGGGCTTGGTATGGCAGGAGTATAATAATTGAGTACGCTTTTTGCCTGTGAAAAAGTAGACATTAACTTTGGAAGAAATGTCTTGTCTTGTGCATATTTGATTTAAGAGTTTTCAACTCGTGATTTAAAGATTGCACCAAAAAAAAAAAAAAAAAAAAAAAAAAAAGTTCGTGATTCAAAGAGATATAAGTTAAAATTTATTAATTATAAAATTTATAATTAATTTTATATAAATTTTTATATTAAATTTATATTTTTTAAAATATAATAAAATTAAAATATAATATAATATTTATACTTAAATTTTATTAAAAAATATAAATCTAATATAAAAATTTATATAAAATTAATTAATAGAGTGAGAGTTTATTATGAAAGTATTTATGAAAAAGTAATTAAAAAAATATTGTATAAAAATTAATAAATTTTATATGTAAAGTTTATTAAAATTTTGATGAATTATTAAAAATTTATTATTATTTAAACAGTTTTCAATTAATAAAATTTATATAGCGTTAGAGACAAAACTAATAATAATTTTTTTTTCTATTCTTTAATATATAATAGTTTAAAAATACACAATAATTACGCTGTTTTACAAAAATTATTATGTTATTTGTATTAAATCAAAGTACATAATATTTCCAAAGCTAAAACAACATCATTTCATTAAAAATAATTAAATTCCTCGTTAGGTTTTAGGGTGACGGTTAAATGATATACAGACGTTTGAGGTTAGGGATTGCAAAATTTTTTTAGTCACAGCTGAGGAACACTATTATCTTACGTATATATATGTGCAAATAATATTCCAATATTCTCAATTGCTCACTACCAAAATAAACATCATGGTTTTTAAAAATAAATAGAAGAAGTACTTAACTACTTGTTTTATATCATATTATATTATACAAAATATTGTAAAAAAATATTATGACTTAAATCATTTTTAATATAATTTTTTTTTATGCATTGACATAAAAAATTTTTTTTTGAGCAAGGGTAATTTCGAGGTAAGGAAAGAGATTGAACCCAGTTTTATGAGCTAAGAACACACAATATTAACCAATTCGTCTATGAGGTTAGGTGTGTGATACATCAACATAGATTAATTTAACTTCAGTTGTGGAACCCATTTTTTCTATATCTATGTTGCTAGCATGTTGGCACATTGGCAATCATGAAGAATGTGAAGGTGACATGAAAATGTTGAAGGCCACATCGACTTACAAGTGCTTCTATGTATATATATCATTATGTGTCACCCCTCATTCACAAATCGCAATCAGCAGCGTTTTTCATCATATAGATGTATAACGTGGAAGCTTCAACCTGCCATTAACTTCACAAACAAAATACTAATAGCTGCAAAAATGGACCACTCTTCCAACCCACTTGAAAATTAAGTCCCATTGAAGGAGAGGGACTCAAATTAGTTTCATAATTAATGAACATGAAAAATTCTAGTTATATACGAGATATTTAACATAATTTAAATAGCTAAAAAGTTATATGTTATTTTAAACTTAAAATGCATAAGAACCAATAGTTTAATTTAATTTGATAAAATATTCTACATTTTCTTCTAACCAAATACTTTTTTTTTTATCTTGTTTATATAATAAAAAACAATCATCTTTTATTTTTTATTTCACTTAACTTGCATGTTATGCAATTCAATCTTAAGATCTTTTATTTTCAACGAAAGAAGATGACGA